ATATGAAACTGGCTGTTCCATAATGAAGAAAATAAAAACAGTGAGCACTACAGAATCAAACTATTTAAACACTGCGTTTTTTCCAATACTGTGCTGTAACAACAATCATCCAGAGACATAATTATAAACCTTTATCTGCACTCTCCATAACCTTCAGCTTGATGACGCTCAAATAGCCTTACTCATTTCCTTGCTTATGTCACAGCCGGTAAAAAAAGAAAAAGTGAGTCTCTGAGCTGCCAGTCCCGCAGCAGGAGCTCCAGTTCACTCTGTCCTCAGACGTACCAACAGAAGAACTGGCTGACACTCACGTCTCATACAGGAAGCTGAAGTATTGCTACTTGACTGCAGTTGCGCAACGTATCGACAGAAACACAACAAGAATTACTCACAATTCTTCATAAGATTCTTAGTACAGCGACATTGGCTACTGGACAGCCTAACTGAATCAGCTTTGTATCTGGGCCAACATTTAGCATTTGGTTAGCTTACATTGGAAGAGAGTCAAGCCAGTAAACATTTTATTTCTTGATCTCCTACAATGTAGCATAATGTAGTGACTTTACAATGAATCTATTGACAATTAAAATGTTGCTGTTCCTGCTGTGTAACTTTTTTGATGTTAGCTGGAGCCTACAATTTATCAAAGCTGTTGAGCTGCACAGTACACTGGCCTAAAACAGCCTGAGTCAAAGCAAGTGCCTGGCGGAGTGGATGTACTTGCCTAAACAGCAGCAAAACTGGGCTCATAAACCTTACCAGCTTTGTCGGTTTACAGCCTTGACCACACCACAACCTTTACATTGGAAGACGTGTCATTCTGTGGCTCTCTTCCTCTTCCTTTACCGAGTTCCCAGCTCACTCCTACTGTTGGGTGCTGGCCAGTGTTTGAATTATGAGGAAGCCAGAGGGGCGCTGCTCCCCTAAAAGATACCCGAGCCACAATGAAAGCAATACAGACTCAGGTTTGTGGTGGTAGCATGTGCGCCAATAATTAGCCCGTAATTTTATTAATTATATTACACTCCAACCCCTACAATAGTTAATATAAGAGAAACAAAGTTAACTTGTTGGTCTGAACTTGGAAAGTGACAGAACATCGCACACATCTTAAATATCTCAGCTGATCCAGTTCAGTTTTTTTAGTTTAGCCTAGGGTAGATTTTCCGATATTTCATGACCTTATGTGAAAACAGAGAAAAAACATGAACAGAAGCAAATAAAAAGCCCAAAGCTCGTACTGATCTCACTCCGACATGGAACAAATCTGATAGAGAAGTGTTACAAGATATCTTTTCTTCAATCTGTTTGTACAAATGTGCTCTGTGTTAGCTGAGAGGCTTAATATATTTGCACTGCTCACTTGTCATTTAACTGTTGTCTGAATTTTAACACTTTACCTTTAAATATGCATGGCTCTGAGCACTCATCTGTGCAGCTGACTGTGTGTATGCTACCATAATATAATGTATACAGATATATAATGTAATTAATGGAGACATGTGCCACACCTGCACCCATGCTTGATTACTGTGTGTCAGATGCGTGGTTTGATGTATGCACATCATCTGTCATTGTGTGAAGCTACTGTGACAACAAAAGCTGTTAACAGTCGTGATCAGTGTCTTTATGCCTGTGAGGTCCTCGCGTGTGTCTGATAAAAGAGTACGCACACTGTATTGTTATAAATCACCAAGATATCTGTTTTAGTGCCTATAGTAAACTGAAAACAGACTAAATCCAAACTACCAAATTTGAGATCCCACCTTCCAAGCTGTTGACCACAGAGACACTCCCACGCCACAAAAAGCATACATGCGATTTGAGCAGGTGCGCCAGCTAAGGTGCAACACCCTCAAAATGATGCACCACACGCCTGTATCATTCTACTGCTCTGAACACTCACAACAAAAAGTGCTCGTCTCGATACCAAGCATACATTTGATTACTCAATAGCTGAGATCTTATCATATTGTGAGTAAGGATTTGAACTCAGCTAACAGAGAACATGTTATACAGTAAGAAATACAATTTGAGTGGGTAGTGAGTTTGCAAGTCTGCACAAGACACACTTCTCAATAAAGGTGTATCATAACTGTAAAACATTATTCCAACTTGCTTCTTTTGTCATCAATGTATAAGCTAACTGTACCAAATAAAACGCCCAGCACAAACATTTCCCATTTATAATGTGCTAATCAATTTTAAAAACGTATTTCAAATATGAAATTGCATGAGGATATGCATTTAACATGACTTTGTGGCAATGAACCAATGATACCAAAGATGGGGCAACATTCGACCCAAGGAAAGCCTCAACGCTAATATTAACTCCGTAGAGCCCAAGATGCATTAGACAATCATGTGTATTGTCCTGCCTCCTTATGAAAAATGAAATCCTATGCTAAATCACAAGCACTATAAATGTTAAGACAGTGGTACAGATCCTTGTGACTGTATTTGATTTTTTTTTATCAAAAAGGGAACCCAAATTTTGTACTTTTCTTACTTCTTTGTTCAGTTTGTACAACAAATACCCAATTTGTGCGAGGCAATATAGGACAGGTTGGGCACATTTTCTAATTAAGGCTGAGTTTAGGGTAATGGCCAAAAATCATCGGCAATGAAAGTTGGATGCAACAGTGCAAATCTTTCTAGCTGCCGGTTCCAGTAATTAAAGAAACCCTTTTAATTCTTATAATTCGAAAGCACAAAACAATTTAGCATGTTGCCATAATGTGCAATCACTCGAATGCAAGAACAGTCTACATCTATAAGAACAAACAAATTAAATTCTTTGCCAACATAATTACTGTAGCTTCAATGAAAATATTTTAATGAGTTGAGGGTTAGCCGTGTATTGGCAATTTCTTCCATGTGTCACGCAATCTTTTAATTAACACTCTTCCTACAACTACTAGTTCCTCAATTACCTGTCACAATTTTATTGTTCTGGGTTATCAGCTGCAGTCGTGCTTTACACAGCCACTGAAGCTGGAGATAAGGCCCTTTCCTCCTGGCCTGCCAGGTTTTCCCTGTCAAATATTTATAGAAACTGAAACATTAGATGGGCATCATCAGACTTATAGCTCTCTACACAAGAAGCTAAGCGGGCAGCAGCAGTAGCAGCAGGAACACCAGAGCCATTTCAGAGATCAGAGCTTGAATTCTACCTCTTAACTGACAAGAAAATGTGTTGAATCTGCTGTTAAATAACTTTGAGGCACTTCTACAGCTGTGAGGTGAACATGAGCCTTTAGTGGCAGTGAGGGGGTTGGGAAAGGAGATGGCCATTTTTCGGATGAATACTGGGTACTTTTCCAAATTATTCACCATGTTGTCATTACATATTAAGCCAAGGCAACTCTTTCCTTCACTTAACAACTGAAAAAATAATTAGTTAGGTAGAAGACAGAGCTTACATATTCAACGCTAGCTGTTACCATTATGTGTGGCTAGTTTAGCTAGCGAGGTTTGACTGATTTTTTTTTTTTTTTTTTTTGACAGCTTTAAACTTTCTGGAAACATCTGTACACACATCAGAAGTTACTCCATGTTTTCAGTTAAAATTGTCACAGATATTCGGGCAAGTCAAGTTATCAACAACTCAAACTGTTGCGACAACTAAAGCAAACACCATAATACAATAAAATAAGTGGTAGGACTCAGTATCCAGTGGCTCAGAGCTTGTTAAATGACCGAGTACAGTGTTCAACAGTCGGTGTGTAGAGAGTCTGGGTGTAGCTACAAAACGTTGAACAGTCACCTGAGATCCAGCATCCGTCAGCCTGGCCAGACGAGAGCTGGTGGCCGTTAAACTAGACACTTAATAAAGCCAAACTAGCCAGGCTCGGCCAGCCTGCTCTGGCTGTGTAGCGCAGCATGAAGGCAGCCGCAGCAGCACCAGACAGAGCGGGGGACTGACCTCACTCTGCCTGTCACAGCCGCCCGGACAGACTTCAAACGCAAACCAAAATACCATGGTACCGAAAAGAGCCATTTACCTTGTTGCTCTGATAGCCTTCAAACGCTCTCAGTGCGCTGTCAGTGAGTTTAACGTGAAAGACGGATACATTGCTACCGTTGCTCACTCTTCCACAGGACAGTCCGTAGCACTGCTCCTCCTTCAGCGCCGCCATCTTGCTACCGTTCCCACCACGCGCACGGACGCACTCTGTTGTAAACCGAGAACTCCCGTTGCTTTTCAATGAATATTCAATGACCAGTTACTGATGATGAAGTCACCGAGCAGTAACGAAGCCCTATATAGGCACACGTTAAGACTAAAAAAATAACATTTATATTATACATTTCACAGAATATTGCAATATGAAAGACATTTAAAAAATAGTATTGAACAGCCAGCGCTATTAATCATCGACCTTAACTAAATTTACAACTAATTCGCAGACGAAACGTGAATCATTTTATTTTTTTTGATACTATTCTATTCTGTAATTATATGATATGATTATTAATGGGTGACAAAGTACACATTTTTAACAGCATTTAGAAATGAGCATTGCACATTAGTAACGCGAAGGAAGAGGGAAACGACAGGTCACCTCACTACGTCAGTGAAACGTCAATGTCTGGAAAAAATAATGACACACACATTCACTTTGGGAATATCCAGAAAAATGGAAATGTCCAACTGTAAACAAATAAAACTGGAGAAATGTAAATACTAAATATTTAAGGCATGTCAATGACTTAGTTATCTTGTCTTCACAACATGATTGTTTGAAGTTTCTGTACAAATGTGACTAATGGAAGATGTGTATGTCTAATACAGACTGTACCGGTGGGCACTTCTCAATCCTCCAAGGCCAGTTTTACAAGGCATAAATGCTGGAAGCACACTGTAATAACCAATGGGCCAGGGACACTCCATAAAATCAGTCCAGAGATGGAAATGGTTGAAAACCACTGTATACCTTGTCTGTGATGCTTGTGAGATATACTGGCAAAAATTAAAAAAGGAGACCGTTTGATAACAGACAACTTTTATTGTGATGGATATAAAATTAACAAATGCAGGGAATGCTAGGAACTTTTATGATCAATTCGTTTGTCATCCAGAGTTTATGTAACTTTTGGCTCTATAGGACAACCAACTACCCTGAAGAAGCCACAGATTCAGTGGTGTCACATTTACTGTATGTAAGAACAAAAAAGTGTAATAAATAAACACCTAACAGAGCATAATTTAAGTTAAACTTCACAGGCAAAAAATGTAGGAGAGAAAAAAAAACACACATACACCCAGCATTATTCTTAAAGGGTCATCTTTCAACATTTGGTCTTGATCATTAAAGATTGTGGTGTAATTGACAGGAATTTGATGATAAAAATAAACTTTCCTTAATCATTGTTCATAGCCACATCACTGAGGAAATCCATGTATCATTCTCTGCCCTTGTTTCAAAGATGATAACTTTACCTTTATCAAAATGAAATTAGTGATTTAAGAAATGCTGAACAGAAAGTACAGTATATCTAGTTTAGCTGATGCTTTTATGTACGTATACACAAGTGACCAAGAGTATAGAAACATTGAATTCCAATCCAATACAGCAGTCGTGTATATTTATAAACTACTGTTTGTTTATTGTTGACGACACTGTCAGAAAGTGATGAATCAATTCAATGGTACTTTTTGAGGCTGCAGTTTGTTGTTCTTTCATTTAACTACATTATGTTGTGAGGTCTGTCAAATGTTTTTGCTCCTCTGTGTATGTTAATAAGGTGGATACAAATCTAGTAACACCTTTCAGTGTAACACCAGCACAGACCTCAGTCTAAATACACACCATGGAACGGATTGAACAGGCAAACAAGTACAGAAATTGCGTCAACAAAAACTGAAAACTTTAAGGTGGAATATCTTGCATTTCATTGTATGTGCTTATATTTTTCTGGTCACTTAGTGGATGAGTACAGGCTTTAAAAAGAGTGAGAGAGCTAGAACACAAGAAAAGTATGTCGCCAGTGTGTGAACCTCAAAAAATAGAGCATCTGCATTACACCAGTTAACATTAAACATTGTACTATAAAACAAAGTGGAATCACGTGTTCTCTCTTGAATAGGAAGTATTAATTTAACTGCACAATCTGACAATTTAAAACTATAGCATAACATAGGACAATATCACAATGAATCTATTATGGGAAAAATATTTTATAAATAGCTTCTATCTGTGGTAAATTATTTTTCATTTCGATGATCAAATAATCAATTTCCAACATCAACTACCCAAGACAAAAAACAATGGCAGCAAAAGAAAACAGTGTCTGGCAATGTGACAGATATGAATAACCCTACATATTTATTAGGTTGGAAATACATTTCCCATATGCAAATATTGATGTTTTACTAATTTGTCACATATACTTCTCAAACATAGCAGAGAAAGGAGAGTGACGACTCAAGAGGCAACTGACCGACTGACATTTCCACCCCCTTTGACCAAAGGTCAGAAGGCACTGCCAGATGTGCTTCTGTGTTTAGGCTATCACATTGCAGGGGCTTGGTCAGGCCATCACCACAGGCTTGGTTCAATTTCTAGCAGCTATGACAACAGATAATGCTACACCGCCAATGGCTACTGCAGTGGCACCGAATAGCCACTTCCAGCTGAGACCCTGGGGAAATAAAGGAACAAAAAGAGTACAGAGTGCATATTAAGTAGGTTGAATAATGACACAGTGAAAAGCACAAATTAAGTTCATTCATTACTGACGCTCCCTGTTTATTACCACAAAGGTTCCCTTAAGGATTATATACCTATCACTCCAAAAGAATAACATGCATGACAGTGCATGAGTATCATGTGATGATGGCCAGATATTCAAGCAGTATTCTAACCCTATATTTTTCACACTTTTATACATTTGTTTTGTCAGGGAATGACTGTCTCACCCATGAAGATTTTGCCCGGTGTTTCTGTATGTTGCTGCTGCCACTGGTGGGATTACCCAGCATCTTCTTATACATGGCCTGCTCTGCCCCTCTCTGCTCTGAGTGCTTCTTCACCAGCTTGGAGAGCTCTGCGTGGATAGTCTAGACAGAAGAGACAAGACAAATAGGTGTTGCAGGCTCCAGTCCAATACACAAACCCCACTCTACTCTATTAACCCAACTATCCAAATATGTAGGAAATAAAGTCCTGCTACTATATTCACAAAACAAGACTGATTTCCTTCTTAGTGGGAATATGTCAGGATGACAATACCGGTCCAAAAGGCATGAAAAATTAAGTCACAAGGCTTTTTAAAAGGAATATGACCAATTATTTTTCTACAATCATGATGGATGGGTGAAGCATACATAAATACTGAAACAAATGTTTATGCTGTTCTTTGTTGTCTTACAAGAAATCACAGGCTTGCATCACAGAATTAGCCTCTCATTTAACCCACATGTCCACACAATTATTCCAGGGTATGGGTTCAGTTATTGTTCCAGCATTTTCTCAGATCTGAGTCACTTCACTGCTCTTAAAGCTGGTGAGTGACTAAGCAAACCACTGCTCTCAGAGACAACAAAATTGTTTATGCTTTGGAAAATGTGCTTCAAAAAGACCATGGAGCAATGTTGACTGAAAAGTTTTTTTATATTTAATTGCCGTCTATCTTATGCCATGTATACACCTCATGGCTTTCAAGGTTGTCAGCCTGTACTGTTCACACTACACAACCTGTTGTCGTATAATCGGGAATCTCAAAATCGTTGTGGTTTGCACACTGCACGACTGATGAGCAACTGGGGGTCACAAATTACAAGATCTTCCACCTGGAAGAATCCCAGACGAGCCTGTCTGGTCTCCTCACAAAAAAATTTTTTCATGATAACCCACATGAAAGGTGACATGGGAAATGATGTGACACCATGCAGACAGGATTTTTTTCTTCCAAAATGCATGTCTGCAAGAAAAGAGCGATCCAAATTGATTGTTTGCTTACAAGGAAGAAAAAGAAAAGAATGGATTGGGATGCACAAGCAGCAGGGATTCATGTTCTACAACCATCTTCCCGGGTTTCCCATCACCCCGTGTCTTGTGGTCTAATGAGCTGTAGCCTGTTGCCGCAATCACTGTACACTACAGGATTTGGATTCCCCAGCAGGTCCAGATATTTAGCCTGCTAGATATCTTTTAGGCATCTGTGATGCAGACTCTTGACTCTGATCTAGGGCTTTTCTCAGGGATCTTCCAAAACTGTCGGCAGGTGGAAAATAAAAAAAATTGTGTACTGTGATCTTAGCATTAGGGATTGGAGAGTCAGTATGAATGTCTGTGCAAGTCTGTACCTTGAGGATTTGGTCAATTCCTATCTACTGCTAAGAGTAAGTTGGTACATTTACTGCACTCTACTGTGTTCGAGCAGGGCACCCTTGGCACATCTGCGCCAAAACTGTGCAATCAGCTTCCCACCAAAATGACAAAAATGACACAACATTGACCTGTTCCCAGGGCTAGGATGAAGTAGGCTAAACAAACATTTAACATCCTGTCCTAACAGCATCTGTGTCTCCAAATACTGTGCTGAGGCGGTCTGAGGCTGTCTATACCGGAACTGTCAAGTCTGCGCGCCATGTCAAAAAGTAAACAAACCACAGACACAATAAATCTCCTCTCATCCATCTGAGTTGAAGATAAGGGGCGTGAACAGCTGACACCAGTGTAAAAAATGCAGACAGCATGTCTCATCAATGCTGGGAGAAGAGAGCGAGAGCACGTCATCTTGTCACTCCATGACGCCTGCGCCTGTTTAAGACCGCCTCATTGATTATAATGGGAGCATTCTTGTATTGTCACTTAAGCACACCCCCTGTACTTGCTGTTAGAACATGGGTTATTTAGGGAGTCTTTTCATTATTTCAAAGCAAAGAGAAAAGTCAATTTTAGCATTAAAACAACAAATCTAGTACCAAATTCGAAATATGTTGACAAATAGAAAATAATCGCAAACATACACAAGGGTGACAGTTATGAAATATCAAATCGCCGACAGTCAAAAGGGTATAGGTGCTAGTGCATACGATCTACAACATGCAGCCTTGCACTTCAGATTTGTAAGAGATTTCCAACTAGACAGAGGCCCATTAATTCAGCAATCCACCTAAGATGTACTATCATAAAATGTAATAGTACATTATATATTTATACTGCGTGTGTTGGATGAAAAGTGGTGGCCAGGCCATGTGCTGCTTGACAGATTGGTGTAGGACTGAAGTGGGGGATTCTGGGCATGAGTACATGCTGCTATAGCTTACAGCTAATCCAAGAAGCCCACGCACTCAGCTGAATCGGTCAAATAGCCTTGTGTAGCCAAAGAACCACATATACCTGACTGCATGAGCAGGAGAACAGGAACAGTGGCTAGGCATTAGATATGGCTGGGCTGCAGGGCAAACCTATTTACAGCAACAACATGAAAACAGATACCCTGAAATGATGAATCAGCAATCCACCTGACCTTGCACTACAAAATTAAGTGGCGTGATAGTTTACCCTATGGCACCATCTACAGGTTGTAAGAAAGAACTGCCATTTCTCCATACTGAGAGCTGTGTTTTGAGAATAATCAACATGGTGAGACCAAAAGTACCTTGTTGCTTGGTTCCAATTTCAGTGCCTTCCTCAAAGTTTGAATGGCTTCTGTGTATTCACCTTGCAAGGCCAAAACCTTGAATAAAAATACACAATTAAAAGTTAATCAAACAATCTACTAGAGACTAGCAAGAGAGAAAGTGAAAGAACATGAACAACATGTACCTTGCCCATACGGAAAAGTGCTTTTATGTTCTCTGGCTGGTGCGCCAGAGCTGAGACACAAGATTTAAGTGCTGCATCATAGTGGTCCAGTTTCAGCTGAGAAGCAGCCATGTTGTTCAAACATTTTACTTTCACATCCATCAGTTCATTCTCCTCCTCAGGACTAATGTCGACTGCAGCAGAAGCAACCACAACAAAACAATAAGATAAAAAACAGTAAAATGGCCACTGTTGAACAGTACCTTGAAATGAAATGAAATGATTATACTGTGTATCAGTGCATAATCAAAATAAATGTTAGTTATACCTGTATGAAGCTTTCCCTGCCTACCACTCCACTTCCTGATAGATAGCCACTAAGCCCAATGCTGAGTAATTAAAAAAGACCCACTGTAATAAACCTTTTACTCACTCCTGATTCCCTGACCTGTATCTCACCTTTAGAACTCGACTCTGTTATCTGCAGGGCAATGCTATACGAGTTAACAGCAAAAGCATAGTCCCCACGCTGATAATGAACGTTGCCCCTCTCTCTCTTATGGCTGGCAAGGGATATCTTTTCTGCAGGGGGCAACAACTCCAGATCTGGAGCATCAGTAGCTTCCAGCAGGTCCACTTCTAGGGAGAGCTCAGTATTGGGGGGGACCTCAGGTTCAAGACTGTCAAAGAGCAGAAACACAGTTTCATGAAATAAGGAGCAAAAAGTCATCAATCACTGGATTACACACAAAGAAATAGTCAAGTGTCACATATCCAGTGAAAGTGTGCATCACATGAGGATTTACAGATTCCCTAAGGCCAAGAACGGAGCTTGTAGAGCAAGAAAAGCCATGCTGTTTTATCAAAATTCATGAAAGCAAATTTACATATCCTCACAAATGAATAGGAAAATTACTAGTTGAAATAAAGAAGCAATTTTCAGTTTGACATTACAGCTTTCATGGGAGTGAATTTTTGTTTACATTAAAGCCTTAAAGCCTAGATTAGATTAGTTTGATTAAAAACACACTGCCTACCTCCCACGGGTACCATAAGCATATTTTGCATCTGTCTGGATGAGAGCCTTCTCTCCCATTTCCATGAGCTGCACTGTGAGATCAAGAGCCTGTAAGAAGAATAATCTTACTGCAGCATGATACCAATATCTACAACATGACTTATATCACTGACATAAAGCTAATTATACATAACCTAGATGAAAATGTGAAACTTCTCTATACATTATTTACAATTTCAAGAGAAAAATTAAACTTATGTAATGGTTTTACATGGATAACATCACCGTCTCCCAGAGTGAATGTGAGGTCAGACTGCTCCTCTACCAGTGCCCCGTCCTTCAAGTAGGTCTTAAGATGAATCTTGACATTCTGTCCTTTCTGTGGCCGACTGTCCCGCCCGTCCCCTGCCTCCAGGACTTTTTTCTTTAGCTGGTCATTACCTTTGGACAGATAATGATATTAATCTCAGTCAGAACAAATACAGCACTTATCACAACCAGAGCCGTGTCATAACACCTTGCGAATCTTTGTTGCAGGTGATTGTTGATCAGGCAACAATCCCTTCATCAATATCAACTTTAAAACTTATGCAACACCTTCTACAGGGATGTACTGTTCTATATGTTACCAAGGTACTTTTGTAACATACCTAAAACATCCAGCCATTCATCAAGGTGACCTGGAGGGTCTGGTTCTGTGACTGCATTTATCTTGTGAGACTCATCTGTGTTTTCCCCTTTCCCTCCCCCAGCGTCTTCCAGAGGAGGGGGGTCGTCGTCAATGTCCTCATCATCTAAAACCTCAAAGTCCTCCCCGCTGTCCAGCAACGAGGTTCGTCCATTCTTCTTTGTTTTTGGCGCACTGTCATGGATATCAGAGGCGTCCATATTCTCCTCTTTTTCAGTCATTAGCGGAATACTCTGAGAAAGATGGTGATCAACTTAAAAAATGTAACTTTAGAAAATGCAAGCTAAAGAATTGACTTCTCTAACTGGCTGTCCCAAAACTAGAGTCCTACTTAAAATACAAAACGCCGTTTGAAGATTCACCCTCTATGTCATATCGTATCTGCAATAAATAAACGACTGTCATGCGAAAGCATCCAGAATTAGATCGATTATTAACATCAGTTACCAAAATTCACAACATCACACATTTACACATTACAAGTACAACGCGCCTGTTTATTGTTTTGCTACAACAGATTATTTTTATTCAACAGTAACCAAGCTAGCTTCACGTTTCCAGAAGTTTCTGACAAGTTATCTTGCTGCTAGCTCCTCAAGCGGCTAACAGGCTGCTGCTAACACACTTGGCAATGGCAAACTAGCATTAGCTGTAATCTCGCTGGGTATCTAGCTAGCTAATGTTTGTTACCATTAAGTGACTGTTTTGTCTTGTTTTTCAATGAATATATCGACTTCAGAGAGTGAGTCAGTCATGCGTGATAGTCCCTTTTGTCAAAAATAAACTGAAGCTTACCTACAAACACGAGTTATTTACGCGGAGGGTTGTTTTGGTGTTTTGGTCCTAGCCAATCTCTCCTCCAGTTTACAGTGGTGAAGTCAGTTCGCTGCTGGGAACACGAGACCAATAGGAACTGTGGGTTTTGCTAAATAAACCACGTCAAACTGACTTCGTCGCGGTCCTACCTCATCACAACAAGCTGCTTCCTGTTAACCTTGAGCTCCTGTACTGCTATTGGACCTTTTCATGCATATTAATATTTATTCTCATAGGCAACCCAAACCAGTTTTTAATAATGAACCATTAGATAACCTCTGAACGTACCCTCTATCCAAAGAGACCAGGAAGTAATAATGGATGGTTATTTATAAAGAAAGAAATACAAATATAGAACAGTATTTTCTTTTTGAAGGTAATTTAAATGCACCTGTAAGTTGAATAATAGCAAAACGAAGAACCGTTAATTGTTATTATTTCACAGAAATTACATTATTTCCAATGATTTAGCTCCTGAATGTACACAGCAGGACTTTATAATGAATGGTTCTCTGGTATCTTGCATATTTGGAGTCGGGATAGGCTAAATCCAATTTAAGATTGGTGGCAGAATTTTGAAATGTGAGATTAACCAAAACCAAAACTGGCAAAACTGGTAAAAACCAGTTCAGATAGCCTAAATCAAACACATTAATAATTTATCTTTTGAAAGTCGTGTGCACATTTAAAGCAATGCTTATGATAGAACAGTTTGAAGTTAGAACTTGAACCAGGGCACTCCAATCCTTTCCACCAATGTAAGTGCAGCAGGTGATCCTTTTCTGCACTGTATACAATTTGTAGTGCCTAAGGTACATGTATAAATGAGAGCTCAGAGGAAGAGATTCAAACAACAAGGAAAAATCAAATGACATTTATTATTGATGCATTGTTTCTTTTTTGATAAGCAAATTATCTGTTTTTCTTTCAGTCTAAAGAAACTTTACAATATAAAGAAACATACAAAGAACATCTTTATTACCTACACAAGACACCTAAGTCCCTAAGACAAGATTCTGAACTATCCTACCATGAAATACAAAGCAAACCCAAGAGACAGACTGCTTCATATTGAATACTGCCGTGTCATCAGAAAGGACCATGAACGGTACAGGAGAATCATTTATATCCCGTTCCCTTGAATCCCCACCCCTCCCCGACTCAACATAACCACCCCACCCAACCAGCAAATCTTCCTAATGGTACAGTATTATACATCACAATAGAAGTACAGAGATGGCCAACGATCGATATACACAGAGGACTGAGAGAGGATCAGTGAGAGAGCTTGAATCTATACAAAGCTATTAAAGGAGCAAATAGCAAAGGACACAGTTTTCCCCATAAGTATTACTTTTTTTTTTATCTATTCTTAATTTAAAATGAGGTTCTCTTAAGTATTTTTTCCTTTTTAAAAGTTTTCTTAAATTGATAAAAATCCTTCATATTAAAAACTGCAATGAGGTCACATGTTTTTTGTGAGAAGATGCCCTTTAAAAAAAAATTATTCAGATGCTGATTATTCACAGCCAATAGTAACATTTAACTGAAGCATATGGAGACAAGGGCAGAGTGAGGACGCTCATTTGCTTCTCTCTGTCCTGTCCTCTCTCTGTCCTATCCTCCCCACCATACAAGTCTTTAGCATACAGTCTGCATTTATTGTGTTACTGTGTTCTATACATTTTTATGGAAATTTAGCCACATGAGCCAAATAGTCTGCGCATCCTTTCTCTATGAAAAACATGGACAGTTTTATTTATAATTTACTTTCAGCTGTATTCATTGGTAGTGACTGACATATCAAAACATGTCAATGATATCAAAATGCATTATACAGTATTTACAAAAAAGGAAATTAAAGAGAAGGGGGGAGAGGTTTGGAGGGTGAGGGATGGGATTGGAGGAAAGGAGGGAGGTGTGTGTCACTATGTTGAAGGAACACTAGAGAGTGTTTCCCAGGCCACTGACAGCCAAATCCTGGAGATGTCCCTGTTGAACTCTGGGTACAATCTGTTCACACTGATATCAGAAAATTGATAAGTACATCACCATCACCCATAGAGGCTACAATTGTTGTTTAGTTATTGTTGGTTTGAACACAGCCATGACGCAAGTGCTGCGATGTGATGTCAGAGATAATAAGAGATAAGTTATCCCTTTGAAACAGTGAGTAAATCAGGCCAAGAGTACATAACATACAGAAAGAAACAAATTAAATAGTGTAATATGTAACTATGTTTTTCTTTGTGTGCAGATTCTACGGGCTTTATGGGCTTTAATTTTTTATCAGTTGAATACATTTCAAATAAAAACAATTTGCTGAAAACAATCCACAAAAATGGAAATATCCATTACAAAAGTATCCAATTATTGTTCCTCTTCTTTAGACTGATGTGGCTGCATGGTCTGTTAACCCCAAGGTACATCACTCTGCTCCCATCATCAGCGGTGCTCCAGCCACCCAATACTCTGGATCCATTATCCCATACATAAGGGACTCGCTGAGGCAACTGGTCGATGGGAGCTCCGAGGAGACAGTTATTTAGCCCATCTTGTCTGGATTAAGAAAGTGGATCATACAGGATCTGTGAGTTCAACCTAAACTCAAAGCATGAAAACAGGCTTCATGAGTGTATCAGAGGTCCCACAGTCTCCCCCAGTCCAAAAAAGAAGGAGACATTGAGGAGAGACCAGAATGAGTCCTGGGAGGAAAACAGTGCCACTAAAGAGTCCACAGTAAGGCTGAAATCAAACAAAGTGATGAAGGGGAAGGAACCACATTTTAGGATTCACAGACAACTTGTAAATAACAAATAATAAAACAACCACAATACAAGCTAAATATGTTGTATTTACAGACAAGACCAAATCCATAGAAGAGACGAGAGGATCGACAAAATGCTCTCTGTCTGTTACTGAATGAGAACTGGCCCCTGATGATTATATCAGGATTTCATCAGAGCCATTTTCTTGCAGTAAAAGCAGAGAGAAAAAAGGGTGCTTATTAAGACAAGATAGCTAGACATCCGATCATTCAGGTGCATCAGCAGACACTTTGTACCAGAAAACAGCAATGCTCTGAGAAAGCCTCTGTTGTAACTGTATGGATAGTTTTAGCCGGGATACCAACACCTCGACACAAACTACTTCATTAGGTGAAGATGATCGATTATTCCAATCTTTCTGAGTCTGAAAGTTTATGCAAATGGTGCTACGAACATTTAGAAGGCAAAGACGCTACCTACAAGTTCTGAAGAAGTTTTAAGGAGAGGTATGTGAAGTGAGACTGACTGTGACAAAAACAAAACAAACAACAAATAACCTAAAATCATGTAAACAGAAAATCATTGTGCATTTTTCAGGTGTGCTTATTCTGTCATTGTTGATGCTGCTGCTGAGATAAAATGTGCCCTTTACAGGAAATCATAACTATATTAGTAGAATAATATCAATTATGAAAATTATAACAATAATATTATCATCAACAACAAAAAATACAAACATTTAATGAAAACCATTCTTGCCCTAAAATAACATCATCAGTTCATTTTTTATTTTTTTTAATCATTCCTGCCACAGGAGTTTTTGAATGAGGGTTTTCAGCCCCCCCTGTCAGTTAACTACTGCGCGCCCTCATAAGTTATGATCAGCATGATATAATGGAGTGGTGGTAGATGCAAGCAGGCATCTTGATTGGGCTGAAATCCACCCATGGGGGCAGGTTTCTGGGTTTGGGAGAGACAGGCTTGGAGCAGGTTCAGGCTCTCACTGTCCTAGGGCCCTTGTTGGGGCCCGGCAGGCGAGGAGAAGCGGAGAGGAGACCCTTCCTGTTGCTTGGAGACCGTTTCATGTTCTTACACCCATTTTACAGGCGTTGGGATGGGGGGCCTTGAGAGGAGTCCTGCTTTCCAGGGGTATCCTCAGGGGCTGTGTGGCACAGCACACCGTCCAGGAGGAGGTAGGAAGGGTGGGAGGAAGGAAGGTAATGCAAGATGCAGCAGGGCGGATGGGAGAGGGAGATTGAGATAAGGGGAGATGAAAGAGAAATAAAATAAAATAAAAGATAAAAAAAAAAAAAAAAAAAAAATCACACACTCATCGTCATGTTGGGTGAATACTGTAAAGAGAGAAAAAACAGAGGGAGGGGAGAAAAGATAAGCCAAAACTATATTAAACCTCTTATACTACCCAGTTCAAGATGAAAGCAATACAACTAACTAAACTAAATGCCATGTCCAGTACACCAGCCTTTTGCAGCAAACATTACACTACTAACCCTTTCTAATTTACTTCCTGTGTCAGTAAACCAGCAGCAAGCAGAGCAGAGTCCAGCCCAAGGAGAAAATGTTAAGGAATTTCAGATCACAGTGAGTATACTGTAGCAAAAATGTAGTTGTCAGTCTCACATTAATCACTATATGACAATCTCTTCATGCATCAGAGAAAGCATATCATGTGGTTCTCTTCCATGCTTTTGTGCATGCTGTGTTTTTGACAAAGACAAAGCTGGGAACACAGGGCACGATATACAGGACTGATAATGAAGCTCAATTTAGCCACGGGGGCTGATTTCAAGATCATGGAAATTTTGTGGTAAAGTGTGCAAAATAGAGCAGGGGCCCGGTTTCACAAACACATTTTAAACCATCGTATTAGGCCAGTCTTAGTTTTTGCTCTTAGCTTAGTCTAATACAAGTTAGACAGTTTCACAAAAATAAAGAATTATTTCAAGCCTAAAATGTTCACCATGCTAGCTAAAACAGTCAGTGACACCTGCTGACCAGTGTCAAGTGACACACACACACACACACAAAAAAAAAAAACATGGCTCCCAGTTTGTGGTTTTCTAACAACATAATGAAAGGAAGAGTTTTTAGAAAGTACAGTATCCTGTTGACAATACACATCAGTTGTTTCCATTTTCCCAAGGAACCCAATCCTGAATGTGACTGATGAGTTAGCAGAAGTACTGAGTCCGACAACATTAAGGAGCCACAGCATCTAAGCTCTGCTACAGGTCTGCACTCAGGTGAGATTTTAAGATACCAAAAGATTTTTGTATTGCTATACTCTTTGCTGAATTTTCAAAGTGAGGAGACCTTGTAACTGCTGAATGTGTTCAGAGGGAAAATATTTTTAGCTGAAGTGAAAGGAACTAAGTGGTTTGACGTGGTTGCTCAGTCAACTACAGGGCATTTTGTTATGTTACAGCTTTATGCAAAATTTCCTTCATCAATCTACATTTAATATCTCATAAAGACAAAGTGAAAACAGTTTTAGAATTTTTTTTTGCTAATTTATTAAATAGGAGAAATTGAAATATCACATTGACATTAGTATTCACACACTTTACTCAGTACTTAGTACTGAGTAAATTACAGCCTCAAGTCTTCTTGGGTATAACAGGGCAGGCTTTGCACATCTGGATTTCGAGATTTTCTGCCGTTCTTCTCTGCAGATCCTCTCAAGCTCTGTCAGGTTGGAATGGGACCGTCAGTAGACAGCTATTTCCAGGTCTCTCCAGAGACATTTGATTGGATTCTGGAGTTAGGGCTCTGAGGTCCTGAGTGCTCTGGATCCGGTTTTCATTAAGGATATCTCTGTACTTTTCTCCATTCAGCTTTCCCTCAACCCTGACCAGTCTCCCTGTCCCTGCCGCTGAAAAATACCCCCACAGCGTGATACTGCCACCACAATGCTTCACCGCTGGGATAGTATTGGGCAGGTGATGAGCAATGCCTGGTTTCCTCCACACATGACGCTGAGAACTGAGACCAAACAGTTCAATCTTGGCCCTTCTTCCTGATTGCTCCGTTTGGCCAGGCGGCCAGTTCCAGAGAGATTGCTGGTTCTAACAAACTTCTTCAATTTAAGAATTACAGAGGCCACTGTGCTCTTGGGAACCTTCAATGCAGCAGTTGGTTTTTGCTCTGATATGCATTGTCAGCTGTGAGGCCTTACATAGGCAGGTGTGTGCCACATCTCAAAGATACAGCTAAATTTGAGCTAAATTTCAAGTGTTATGGCAGAGGGTCTGAATACTTATGTGAATACTTATGGAAATTGCAAAAATACTTAACTAAAATTCTGTTTTCACTTTGTCATTATCATCATTATTGTCATTATGCAACATAAAAAAATGTGAAAAAATTGAAGAGGTTTGAATACTTTCTGAATTCACTGCATGTCTTTTAGTTTGAAAAATGTCTTAATTTACCCTGAATAAATGGACAGTTGGTTTTACTTGAGATAGTCAAGAACCAGACAGCTTTATGCAGCAGAGACATTTAGAATTTAGACGTCTGTCTGAAGTCTATTACATGATCTACCACAGCCAAAGTCTCTTTTTGTGAAACCGGACCCGGGTCACCATGGACAGTTGGCACACACAAACTTTGAGTGTGCAGAACTGAAATGGAGCCATCACAATTGTCTCAAGTATATTGATATTTTTGTGACTGGAGAAATCTGAAAGTGATCCTGCTGTTTGACAACAGTGGTACAGATATGACTGTAATCTGCAGAAGTATTAAATACTATATGTGACTCTGTTCCATGTTAAAGTCAGACAGTTGTTTTTTATTTTTTTTAATCGTCTAGTTTGTTCCCAGCTTAAAAGGTGCGTTGGTACTCACACTTTCACTTTGGAATGGGTTTAAAAAGTTGCCTGCCATCTCGCCGTCGTCCCGCGGAGTGCCGGGGGGATTGTTCATGCCTGCCATGTTATTGGGAGAATTCTACAACATGGGAAACAAACCAATAAGAATACAGACCTCAAACAGACAGACAAATACACAGACAGATGAACAGCCAGTCAGTCAGTCAGTCAGTCTTACCTTTGGCAACCCATCCATGTCACCAGAGCCTGTGATTAGAAATAAAAAGAGAAGAGAAACTTGAATGATTGTAATGTAACAGTTAACTAATCCTCAGCAGCCTGCTAATAATTTAACAACACTTCAGGATATCCAGCGCGAGCACAAAACACCCGGATCTCTCACAGTTAATGGTCTTTAATTAAGCTATTTGTTTCAGATACAGATGAGCACCAACTCCGCCGGCTTCACTGCCCGCGTCTCACCCATCTACAGGATCAATTGGCCTACTCACTGCCCCACTAATCTGTTTCAGCTTTGATCAATACTGAGAGGAGAGAGAACACTTCCTCTACCAGCCATAAGAGGGCAGAGTCTTACTTCTTAATGCCTCTGTTCATAGAAAGTAACAGGTTTCACTGAATATTCTGAGGAGCTTATACCAAGTGCCTGCTACATACACTGTGAGCTTCTTTAGCTTATCTTTATCCACTCACCTAGTGATCCGTTCATATGATGCTGCTCCATAGCACCCATTCCACCCATTGGCCCGTCAGGACCCGGCCCCATTGGGAACTAAAGAAAATTAACAGGAGCATTTATAAAGATCATGTATCTTGTTCTTTTCATGCTTGGTAATGAATTAGAAATTAGAAACAAATTCTTAATGAAATGTAGAAACACTGAAGCTATTTATTGTGATTCAAAAAGAAACAAAACAATGTTACTCACATTAGGTCTATTTCCACCGGGGCCGATAGGGTTCATCATCGTGTAGATGTTTTCACTTGAGTTTGTTGAATCTATAAAGAAAAAACAGTTCAATGTTTAAAATCCGAATATTGTAAGACAGATTTTTCCTCCTAATTTAAGAGAAAAACTTATAGATCTCTCTGTATCCAAGTGGTCCACAAATGTCAAAAAATAAGGTGGATTTGGGGTATGGACGGGGGTAAGAAATGGGAAATAATGAGGTGAGCTACACTGAAGTCACTGGAGTGGAACTGTTTTTCACTGTATTTGACATTGTTTCAGTTTGATTTTGCCAGCTACAACCCAGACACATGTTTCTGTGGTACAGGACCACCAGTATATTACTTTAAAAGCCGGTGCATAATGTCAGTCAATCTGTCTGTCAGTCAATCTACACACTGCTCTCTGCGTTGTACAATGAAAGAGACCAATTATTTGTAATTCCGACAATCAGGAGATTAGACCAAGTTATTATATGGACACTCTGGCATCTTAGCAACAACCAGTACATGCTGTGTCACTCCTCATGTGTCTGTCTGTCCCGAAAAAATTCAGAAGGATGAGGTGTCCTTGATCTGGCATTGCAGGCAGAAAGTTGTGAGAAAAACACTGAGAAAAGCAGGAAAAAAAAAGAATAACAAATTGAAAGACAGGGGAGGAGATGGATACTGCATGTGCAAAGTGGTGGAGAGATCTTGCCTGTTAGTTTCCCTGAATCTAGCTTGTTATGTCGTGACTAGAGGAGGGGGGCAATACTGAGTGGGAGGTTTGTGTGTATGAGAGTGAGTGAGTGTGTGTGTGTGTGTGTGTGTGTGTGTGTGTGTATGTGTGCGTGCGCGCTCACAGCACAGTCTTGGCGACTGCAGTGGAAATATGTTTTCCCTCCCGGTGTACGTGAGCAGGAGCGTTTTGTACAAAAGGTTGCCCCGGCAACAAATCACAATAGAGGTACGTATATAAATAATAAATAGTGGACACAAAAAGAAGCTCTCCACAGGCCAACAGAAACAGAACATCTACAGGATATCTGCCCACAGTGTTTTGTTTGCAGCTAATCCTCCACAGAGATACTAGACTGATGGGTCAAAGCTGAGATGGATCACTCAGCTGATTGCAGACTGACATGCCTCTGCTTCCCTTTTATACAACTGTCTTGGCTGTGAGAAAACACAGCTAACATTAGAATGTTTTCAGAATGTGCCTAAACAGAGACAAAATGTGATACCCGACCAAAATTGTTCATGTATGTCACACATTCAGTGCAATATTTTACAAGTTTTTAATGTTTTACGCTTACAAAAATATTCCTTAAGGCTCAATTCCTAAAGTATTTAGATTGCTATCTCTGCCTGACTCCCAAAGAGAGACGTGTATCTGACAGAGAACAGGTTTGATGTTTCTGAGACAGAGCCCTCCTTCAGTGAACACTGGATAAAAGTAGAAATCAGAAGGGAAACTGAAGTGTATAACTCACCTCCGGGGCTAGGCATGATGGGAGTTCCTGGTGGGCCGCCTCCCCCTGGAGGGCCCTGAGGGGTGAAGAAGCAAGAGAAGAAGAGAAATGAATGCTGAGTGCATCTAGACAGCAGCGTGCCTGTTAGATGTCACTGCATGACAGGTAATTTATGGCCCGTGGTTGAACACGAGTCCATGACGGGACACTTACCACGTAGTTGCCTGGAGATGAAGATGAATAAGCTATCTGTGGAGAGAATATACCCCGAGATGAAACAAAACACGAGACACAGTTATTGTAAACACACTCCGTCATGTGGGTGATTAAGATGCGAGAGACTGTGACTCACTGAGTTGGTGTTGGGGTTCGGCCATGGACCTCTTCCACCAGGACCCCTGGAAATGCAAACAGAGGGAGCAATAAGGAACAAAGTCACATGCACCATCTTTTCAAAGGCAAAACAAGATACTTCTCACTGCTCGCATGTCTCATGATGATTTCTTGAGTAGATGAATACAGTCTATTAGTTTATATGCACAAGTAATCATGAATTCTTGGAAACAGGTGAATTTACATGACAAAAAGTACATTTTAAGTGTCATTGTGGCAACTTTAACTGTAGGAGGCAAACACAGACAAAAATACCCTGAATAATTTTGTTTTATAATCTAATAATCTGTTAATGAAAAGTTTTAGAAGTAAACCATGATGAGTATAAAACATATTTTTGGTGATGTATTCTAATTTCATACGCCTTATGAAATCAGTCAGATTACTGGTATTTTATTAGAGGAAAGGTAAAATAATAAACTTCTTTCTAACTAACTTCATGGCCATTGGCTTATTAACCAACCCGTCCCTTGTAAATCTCCATTAGATTTTGCAGACGAAGTTCCTGCTTCAAGTTTGACAAACCATGGTCACTGTACTTGGTGCATACATCCATTTTTAATGCAATGAGGGATTCTGCTACATCCCCAGATCTCAGCAACTGACTGGGTGAAGAAAGTGCTATCATAGCCGACAGCAAAGACAATCAAAACTAAAAAAAATAAAATTCAGGTTTCAAATAAAAAATTAGAATATCCCCCTTATCTCTGGAAGTAGAATTTACAAATATTCACAAACTTTTGTTCAGTTTACTCACATGTTCATGCCCGGCATCCCCGGCCCCATGGAGTTTGGAGGAGGCCTCATCCCTCCGCCATAGTTCTGCATAAAGAGAGGAGCACAGAGTCAGCATGGCATCTCACACCTGCTCCGTATAAAGGTTTGAATCTTAATGAAGGTCAGTGACGATCATGTCTCCCACTAACTAGTGATTAATTATGTGCATATATGTGCTGTGTGTGGGCTGGCTGGAGTGGGCTGTGTGAATGTGGACAGTTGCGTGCGAGTGTGTTTGTGTATGTATGTATGTATGAGTTGTGTGTCTCTGTGTATGTGTTTCTATGTGTTCATACTCCCCTCTGTGCATTTGCATGTATGTTTTCATGGCTGCCCAGCAGGTGGGTTTGGATGGCACTGCATGTGTGTACTTGGGTATGTGTGTGTGTGTGTGTGTGTGTGTGTGTGTGTGTGTGTGTGTGACTAAGACACACAGAGAGAGAGAGAGAGAGAGAGGGAGAGAGAGAGAGAGAGAGAGAGAGAGACACAGAGTAGAGGGGCAGGCCAGAGAGCAACTCCACTCAGAGGAAGAGTTTTGTTCAGCAGACGATTACACTTGTCGAGCAGATGCCACACCAGCTGCTGGTACGCTAACTGCCAAAGTCACCGTGCCAGGGTGGCACAGAGAGGGGCCGAGGGGCACAGGGAGTGTGTGTGTGTGTGTGTGTGTGTGTGTGTGTGTGTGTGTGTGTACGAGGTGATGTTAGAGCAGGAGGTTGTTGGGTGCAGAATGAAGCAGCTGTCTGGTAATGGTAATTCAAAAGGACACTGTTGTTTAAGCATCTTATGTATTACACCGAATCCAATCGACAAAAATTAAGACGATAAAAGGAAACCAACAGTGCCAAAACTGGCACCGTTTTTGGTCAAAATGTGTTGGTGGCAGCTTGCTCAGAGCAGTCCGAGTGTTCTGCCTCTGTCTGTCTCCCTAGGTGGGAGTTGGCGAGTAGGATTTAACATGTAGAACTGGCGTTGGCAGTGGGTGAGCGCTGGTCAGAGCCAAGCTAATCATCAAAGCGCTTCTGACATTTAAAGGCAAAGTTACGAGCTGGCAGAACCAAAACTTCTCTTCAGCAGAGTAGAAGGATTATCTGTAGGAAGTTTATAGGCTACTGGTTTGACATTATAGCTGTTTTTATGGTAGCTCTAAATGAAGGGTAACCAAACATTGGGTTTGCTCATAAACTGACAGTCCAAGCACCAAATCTGGCTGTGTGGCAGCTGCAGAGTGGGAGTGCAGTGGGCTGCTAATTAACTTAAAGACACCTTTCACTGTCATGGCTTGCTTTATTGACTCAGCCCTTTGTGTTAAATTCTGTATCAGTAATATAATATAACATAAAAGTAATACTAAGGCTCAGGCTAGTGCCTACCTGTGGGCCCATGCCTCCCATGCCTCTGGGGGGATTCATTCTCATTGGACCTCCCATGTTTGGATGTCCTGTAGTGAGAGACAAATAGTGCAGCTTGTTAGCATGGCAGCACTATTTAGATCAATAATAATTCTATACCTCATTCAGAGGTCAAATACGAGACTGCGAAAGCGCAGCATCTCTGAAATAACGCTGCATGTTCGTCAATACCTTGAGGTCTGGTGGGGTCCAGGCTGTTTGGCAGGAGAGGCTGTGACCCGGGGATGCTCCCAGGAGGCTGATTTGGCATACGAAGGGCGGGCCTTGGGCCACCTGGGTACCGCGGAGACATGAATGGCTGTAGGACAGACAGGGAAAGGATGACAATTATTTATAATTATTTCAGGATGGAATACTTTTTATAATTCTTGACAGACAGGCCTTAAAATATCACTAGTACGTTTGCTCATGATCTTGTTTTACTCAAATGCGCTTCCAACTCTCTAAGCTGAGCACACGAAAACACAACACATAAGTGTGGAGCTCATTCGATTAGCATGAAATCTAGCATCTCATTTATGAAGACAGCGGCTAAAATCAATCAATTAAATAATAGAAAAGATGATGTTAGGATTTCCTTGAAAAATATTGATTATGAAAAGTCAATTGAGACACTGTAATCCACATTTGCTAAATCACAAGTGAATTTTTAAAAAATAAAATTAGGTTCAGATAATCATTAAGTTAGACTGACAATATCTATTCATATGAAGGTGTGTAACGTGAATACAGTCACTGAACAGACTTCTAAGGAAATTAAACAGACTGACACAAAACAATGCATGAATCATAAAATACTCAAACCACCACAGAGTGCGTGTCTGAGCACGCCAGTGTTATTATAAGCTATAAGAAATTCAAGCTTAATAACATCACATCACAACACAGGTCTGCTCTTTGCTTGGTGTTTTATTGTGGACAAATGTTCAGTGTGTTGATTCTTTTACGGATCTCTCATCAACTAAGATGCTGTTTGTGTTTGGTACTTATATTTGATATTATGATATTAGTTGCCTGAATAAAATGTCTCTTACTGTATCTGTGTAAATCTCTACCTACTCTTCAGGGGCAGAAATGTTTCCATGTGAAACTGATTAGTCACAAGGTTTCCCTCACATGACAAGAGACAAGAGAAGGGCCAAATATCTGAACCCAACTAAATATCATTATGGCAAAACACAGAGAAGAAACTGTTCTTCTTGGTAAATAACACTCATACCTCCAAATAGCAAACTTGTCAGATGCTACAAAAGCCTTTGTAAACCTAGCTCTGTGGAACTATCCTGCCCACTTTTGAGCTGTTGTCGTTGCTAATCAGCAGGGGGAGCTATTGTGTTGAAGAATAATGTACTGTTGTAGTTTTGTTCCATTTCACCCAAGAAGGAGGGGCTTGTCATTAAGTTTTGGAAAGTAAGACCTCAGGTGGTAAAATCCATTAGGATAAAGGTAAAGGAGGACAGATAAGACAGAAGGAGAGAGAGAACACATGCAGGGTGGAAACTTGGATTTGGAAGAACGATATGAGAGGGAGGAGAGAGAGAGAGAGAGAGAGAGAGAGAGAGAGAGAGAGAGAGAGAGAGAGAGAGAGAGGGAGGGAGGTGGAGCAGAAAAAGCAGAGAAACATGACATCGCTGGATGGGAGAAGGAGTGGTGCGAGCAGAAACAATGTTCTACATCGTGAAGGTTTGTCTATTTTGTGCAGCTGCACATGTGCTGGACGTTTTCCTGCCGCGTGTGTATATCAGCAGACAGTCCTGCTACAAAAACACAGCCTGGATGGTGTGATTCATAAGAGAAACTGAAGACACCATCCAGACAGATGTTTCAGCAGAGAGGGGGACAAGAACAGGCTGGCCGAGACACACACGCAGAGCCAGCGCACAACTAGTGAATAATGTAAAGCACCCCAGACAGATGGTTTTCAGAATTACCTATGAGAGTACACTGCTGCAACTACAAATACCCGCATCCAGTGAGCCATATTTCAGTGTCAGATGATAAGAATTAATTCCAAACTCAATCCAACTATTTTAGTATCAAGGGGAAACATGCTGATTTGAATGCCGATTGGGTAAGAGTTGTGTGTTTTTGTCACGGAGCATGAACAGCAGAATAATTTTCATATCATCATCTTCACTCAGAGATAAGCACAACACAAATACAACAGGAGACTGGTTTTCAATGGTAATTATATACTGTGTGCTTTGTGTGCGTGTGTGTGTGTGTGTGTGAGTAATTGGAGGACAAGTTATATAATCCTAGTTACCCCTTGAGGGGAGGACTGACTTACTACTGTTTTCTTTTGTACCCTCTTCTCTTTCCCTCTTCTTCCTCTCCTCTCCTCTCCTCTCCTCTCCTCTCCTCTCCTCTCCTCTCCTCTGACCATGTTATGGTGGGTTTGTGCGCGAAGAGCACCATGTCAGGCTGTGCTGCAATATTAATGGTCTATTGATGGACTATGGGATGGTGAGTGCTGGGCTGAGGGAGAGAGGAGGCCCTCCAGATGCACCTCGGCTCCTTACAGCTGGGCCAACACAGCTAAATTATTCATCCAACCTACCATCATGGACGTTGGCCGTCCTGTCTGTTAGCACAACAAGGGACCTGTGTGCTGTTTGTACACTGTTGTTGTGTGAGTGAGTGAGTGAGTGAGTGAGTGAGTGAGTGAGTGAGTGGAACTAGAACGCAGTAGATGAAGGAAGAGAGGGACTGAAGTAAATGTCTTACCTGTCCGTGAGGTCCCATCATGGGATTGCTGGGGTTGTGTGGGGGAGGCTGCGTGTGAGGGGAAGGCTGAGATCCTGGTGGACCCTGGTGAAGAAAAGATAGAAAGGTCTCATTGAAGTGATCAGATTATGTATTTGGTCATACTCAGACCTGCTTGGGAAAAATGAATTGCAACAAACCCACAATAAATACCTTGTCAAAGTGAGCACTGGAGTTATTGATTGAAAGGACTATGTCATATGAAATTCAAAGGGAAAGTTCAGCCAAAAAAACATATTTTCTCACCATCCTCATCTTTACAATGAAAGGATTTATGTTTGTGATGCTCACAGCATTTAAAAAAAAAAAAAAACTGTCACCGGTTTTCGTAGTGACAATTTCCTCTGCAAAAAGTACAAGAAGAAGTAGAGGTAAGAGACAACATATTTGGTTTGCCTGTCAGTACGATTACATTTACAACAGCTCTCATCAAACCACCTAGAAAAGACAATGAAACACAACACCGGCACTCAGGTTTAAGTATGGTATGATACCTGACTAGCGTGACACTGAGGAGGAACAAAGTAAATAAGAGGCTGCGAGGAAAGATGCAAGATTGCACCAAAGCAAAGCTGAAAGGCCCGTGAGTAATGGGCATATATGTGTCATGTGGCAAGGGACCAAATTCCAATGAGATGATAATGCTGCTTTATGTCTGATGAGTTTAAGGAGGTATTTACATGCTAATATATAACAAAAGAAATTGTTTAGCTATTATACAATGACAAAACTTTCTGTGAGTTTGTTTCTGCCCCGTAGTGGTCAGCATCACTTAATGCATCTTAAATTGGCATTTCCTTCAGACAGTAAATGCAGCATGTCCACACTAAGTGTGTATAATTACAGTACAACTATGCATATCTATTCTGTTACATCAACAAGGAATGCATGTAATGAGATTTGTCACTGACATTTGCAGAGGTCCACATTGATTTTCACGTGCAGGAATTGTTAATTTCCCGGATGAGGTCAGATCAATTCAGGAGGTGGACTTTAATCAACGCTCAGTTACACTCATTTTGTTTTTATCAAAGAATAGCTGAGGTTTTTCAAACACAGGCTTATTTTTCTAAATTTTGATGATGATGCTTGATCCAGTTTTCCAGAGGTGCTGTCGTCCAATACACAGTTAACAGCCGATGCAAGCTTAAACCTGGTGCTCACTTTCCATCTACAGGGAAGGGCCAAATATTTGAACCCAATCAAACATCATTATGGCAAAACATAGAGAAATGAGTCCCAGGTTGAAAATAACTGGAATTATTCTGTCACTTAAATCCACTCTGGACTGAAGTCTCAGTCACTGGTATGTGAACTGCAGTTTCAGTTTGTATTATGGGAGTGAATGAAACCTTTCGCAAGTCAATCTCTCAGAGCAAACACTGTGTTAAGTACATTAAAGTGAATACAGTATCAGAGGACTGTGTGACCTCTGACCTCTTTGCTGCTTTCTACAGTATCCTCATATGACTCCAGCAGAGATCTGTTACTACCTGAACATCAGTACGGAGAAAGAGGACCACCCACTGCCAGACCAGGCTTATCTACTAGTCTGCCAGAGCCTCCGTCAAGCACTCTGCTATCAGGTGACATTACAGGTGTGTGTGTGTGGGAGTGTGTGTATATGTGCGCATGTATGTGTGTGTGTGCAGTGGAGCGGTGATGAGTGCGAATATGAGATCTCTCTCTTTTTTCACAGGTGAAAGCAGGATCTTCTTCTCTCAGGTGCTGAGTGTATGTGGAGTGTGTGCTGGTTTGAATATGTGTGTGCATGCACAGTATGTGTATTGAAGGGGTGTGATACTTCAACAGGTGTGTATCTAACATCACAATGAAAAGATGAGGGATTAGGGGATTACCCATATGCAATATAACCTAACACGCGCGTGCGTGCGCGCACACACACACACACGCACGCGCACGCACGCACGCACGCACGCACGCACGCACGCACGCACGCACGCACACACACACACACACACACACACACAGCCTTGCTCTGCTGATAGACTTGTTATACATACTTACATGCATTTATATGCTGGATTACAATATCAACTAAAGTGTTTTAATTGATTTAACATTAGAGCTTTTATACTCTATAAATAAATTGACCTAATCCAGTCATTATTTTCCAAGTAATTATTCAATCTATAAAAAAAAACATTTACACTGTTACCCATAATTTATGATATACAGTATATGTTAAAAAAAAAGCTAAAGCTAAAAGCTAAAACCAGTAAATATCTGAAATTTTTTGCTTGATGAATTACTTTAATGTAAAATGTTGATTATGGCAGGTAACACGCTGAATTCATGTTCATCTATGGAAGTGTCACCATGCAGGTGGGATCGGTGTGGGTCGCTGTTGACCACAGCGTCTGTTTGACACTGCTGCTCAGGGGTGCCACAGTCAAGCTTTGAAATTCTACACGTAGGATTTCAAAACAATTAATTGCCAAAATTACTATCAATAATTTGTTGACTTAATTTTCTGTTGATTAACTTTGACTAATTGACTAATCATTTCAGCACTAACACACACATTAACTATTGAGACTCATGCGCCTCTTCACCTGTGTGCCTCATTTTTCATAAAGCAGGCAGCTGCACAGATGCATGCGTCTCTCTTCACACAAACACTCTTACCCGCACATACACTCTTTAAACCCCCCCCCCCCCCCCCCCCCCCCCCCCAGTTTCCCAACCTGCCCACTGTGCCGCCTTCCCCTGTGTGAGTGCTCTATTGGCATGGCTGGGGTGGTGGAGTGCCGACAGAGCTGAGCACCACGAACCTGTAGGCGCTGCTACAGTGGGAAAATAAACATGCCTGACTGACACCTTGAGACAAGTGTGTTCCCACAGTCGCAGATACAGTGCCGGCGCCGCTGCGCTGCCAGCTACGCTGTGTAAGAGCACAGATTTTGGCAGGGGACATGACCTTGTACATAAATGTTGAACCAATACTGCTCATAAGCAGAAGCACCTATTTATGAACTTGTAACCCTTTCCTAAATTGGCACAAGTATTGAACACAGCAGCAGCAGCGCGGTTCTCAAGACAGGTGCTTCCTATCCTTTTCAAGCGTGGCAGTTTACTTTCCTCGCCGCATTGATTCTATTCATCTCACTATCACAGGACTGGCTCATTTGAGAAGCAGACAGGTCTTCAATAAAGCAACTTATTGGCCACACAACATGCAGCTGGTCAATAATCTATTCAACAGTCTGGAAATGTTTATTTGTTGCACATACAGTGTTCTCTGAATATGTTGGCACAGTTGAGGTTTGACGTTTGTACCGGTGCCACTGTGGTTGTTCTGCCACTCTGTGTGTGTATGTTTTGGGTGGTTAACACCAGCTGTACTGGACCGCTCTGTCTCTCAGCAGGTTCACACTGGGGCTAATGCAGCGCTAGCTCTGTCTGACCTCAGAGGTTATTGTTGTTGCTGAGCCAGTCTGTGTGTGTGTGTGTGTGTGTGTGTGTGTGTGTGTGTGTGTGTGTGTGTGTGTGTGTCTAACAAGACATCCCTGCGGGGTCTGGCTGCACTGACCCAGCTGCAGCAGTCTGCTTCTCATCTACACACAAACACACACCCAACCCAGTTTTAGCCACTTAAGAGGACATTGCATTCACATACATTCATTTTCTGGAGCCTTGTCCTAACTGTGACCACAACCACTACATGTCTAAACCCAGACCCAACCCTTACGTCAGCCTAACCATAACCAAAACCAAAGTCTTACCTCTAAAACTTAATAGTTCATCTTATGGGGACCAGCTTTTTTGGGAGTTGAGTCCCCATAAAGTGGCTATGTGAACAGATTTGTCCCCCACAACGTAGGTAATACACCACCTCACACACACTATGCTTGTCTCTTGTTCTTCTCTATAATGTGCCATAATGGAGCATAGCTCCTCGGGCTGGGCCTCCCTGGGCCTTCCTGCTATTACATCTGAATGGGCCAGCATATGGCCTTTATGACCATACTGTTCTCTCTACAGGTCCCTGCAGAGAGATGGAGAGACAGAACATTTCAACTGTCACAGAGGTATACACAGGGCAAGTTTGAAAAGTAGCTTGGATGGAGTGTGTGTGATTGTGCGGTGTTGTTTGTGTATTTGTGTAGAGGAGGGGGAGGAGGAGGGGGACACGGGGAGCGTTAAATGAAGCAATTAATAAAATCATTTTCTACCCGGCTAAGGAGATAACAGCTTGGCACAGTACCACAAACCCATCAACACAACCCCCTCGCCTCCCCACCACTCATTTCAGCTTAAGAAAGACCCACACCGCTGCCCCTGATGGACCACTAACAGAGAGCGAGAGAGAGAGAGAGAGAGAGACAGAGAGAGATGGAAGAGTACCAGTCATCTGAATTTTTCTTCTGTTTTTTACAGCTGCTAACACTAGAGGGCAGTGTGTAACTGCCGTCAAACTACTGCACACACACACACACACACACACACACACACACAAACAGGGAGCGAGAACACAAAGCAGCCTGCATCACTGAACACAACAAACAAAGCCAGGAGGGACAGCACCACACACACACACACACACACACACACACACACACACACACACACACACACACACACACACTGAGTGCACACTCATTGTCATTCCTTGCTAACATTCCAGGGAGAGCGGCAGTGGCAGCAGTAGGTCTCCTGCTAGCTCATGGTATATAGCATGGCCACACGTCAGCTCAAAGATGGGAAATGCTATCAGGGGGGATGTTTTCTCCCTGAGGACGGCCGTGAAATGCTGACAGCCATTTAAACATGTTAGGAAGGTGCCAAATGATTTATATACATCTGTTATCCCCTCCTCCTTAGCTAAGAGGAGCGTCTACCTGAAGTTTCAACAACACGCTGGGAAATGTGTATGTGCGTGTGTTTATAGTGCGAGTTCCCACGTCTGCCTCTAAACAGATAAAACATGCCGTATAAGAAACGTGCTGCTGATAGGGATGAAGCATGCACAGCAGGAGACAAAGGCTACATTCAAATCGCTGTTTAACTGTAGGGACTGTTATCAACATGTTTGAACTAAGTCTAGCTACACGCAGACAATGGACAGAGACAGCATTTGCAGAGGACTGCCTCTCATTTCCAAGTTGTCATTCAAGGAGAATCGTAGGAGTATCATCTTTGTCGCTGTCCTCTCAAGGATAAGCATTGCAGTACGAGTCATAGACGGTTCCTCCCTTCAATGGTGTTAGATCAGGCAGAAGTGAAAAGTTTTGCCTGCACACTCATCTTGGTCCTTAAGCATCTGCCTTTTTGTATCCTCTATTCACAGCTCTATTTCTGATATGGTAGAAAAAAAGTTTCAAATATTTCACAGGGCTTTTTATACAAAATCTGTTGGCGACTTTTGTCCAGACGTGAAAAAAAAGTCAGTTCTGTCTCACTTCTCTGGATTTCAACTGCTTGGGCAACATGTGCGTTTGTTGTTTTTTTGTCCAAAAGCCACCAAACAACCTTACAATTGTCTTTCTGTCCCTCAGACACCCAGGATCCACAGAAGGACCAACGCTGACTCCAACCAAACTCTGTGATATGACATTTCACCCGCACAGATAATAAATAATACCTGAGCCGCCATTCTCCAACCACCTCTGCATGTCTCCCATTCACTTTCTAAAGCACTTCACCTTATTAATCTGTGTCTTTGTAAAACAACTGACCAGAATGGACCCTGAGATCAGCCTTAACTTTGATAAGTAAATTACTCAGAGCAGATGTCTTCCTAATTCACCGTGTGCCTGCCATGTGTCAGCTTTGAACGGGTTCTTAAATTCGTCTTTGATACCTGGGTTGCTTGTTCTTAAATGTGTAATCAAACCTAATCCTCTTGTTGTGCTTTTTGGTGTTGTCCCTGAAGAGCCGCAATTACCTGCAGTAAAACACACTGCCCTTGACTTTGAATCCTCTTTTTTTTGCCAAGAGGAGCGATTCCAGTTTAGTAGAAAGAGACTGCCCCACCCTAACTGGTTTATAGACTTAATGGAGCACATTACGTTTTTTGAGTACCTGACGCACCACATGTAGATCAGAGAATAAGGTCAACAAAGAGGGATTTTTGGGGCGTTATTTGACAGATGGACCATATAAATCTCTAAAGAGCACATTTCATCTAATTTGCTTTTCCCTGGACAGAAGCCTAATGCTCTTATTTATGCTGCTTTCTTCCAGATTTTGTCTCCTTTTCTCATTATTCAGTCCAATTGTCTATACGTCTGCTGCCTGCACATTGTGCAAACTCTCTACTGTAAATCTTAACATTTTCCCCAGTATATTTCAGTTGCTGTCTAAGCAGCAGATGGGAGATGAATCCATCAACTGTCCACTATTGTCATCAGCTGTCATTTTTCTGATCTCACATCACACATGAACGCCAATAAAAATGTTTTTGATAGACTTTTCTGACATCTCGGTGTCCTCTCTTCTCTCATGCTTTCTCCTCATCCTCCTCCTCACTGTCATTAACTCCGTCTCTCCTTGCAGCCTCTCCTCCCTCTTTCTCCTCCTCCCCGTCCTCTCCCCCCTTCGCTTGTCCTCCCCAGAGGGCCATGATGCAGCAGCAATGGACTTTCTCTGAGAAGAGGAGGATTATATGCCATATGTATACACCACAGCCACTTCTTCCTTTTCTTTTCATTTTCTGTCTCCCTACCCAAATCGTGTCTCTCTCTCTCTTTATCTACCTTTTTTCTCTGCAGGAGCCCGATGTCAGCCTCGTCCTGTGAGCTACAGATTAGGGGAGCATGGGAGCAGGCGCCCTCCTCCTCCTACCTCCACCTCTATTTTCCTTCACTGTCCCTCCTTTGCCCCTCATCCCTCTCTCCTAGGACTGTAGCCAATAACAGTGTTGGGGTCACTTATGTTAATTACAGCATTAGTGCAACTGGGAAAAATTTCTGCAAAACACACACACACACACACACACACACACACACACACACACACATTCCTGGAGTGCACGTGAACAGTTCACACACAACAGAGTCAGTGAGTAAGCATGTGTCACTGAAGCAGTGTGTGTGAGAGCGAGCAAAATAATAGTTTCAAAGACAAGGGAAATGGAGAGAGTGAGGAAATGTCATGGAGAAGGATGCCAGGCGCACGAAGGAGAGAGGAGAGAGGAAAAGGTGGCGAGGGAAAGCCAGTCGGGAGTGTAGATGAGAAATGACTATGGCTATACCTTTTACTAAATACAATTCATTCACAATACTACATCGAGAACGTTGTTCACTTTAAAAAACATTTCAGGGATTTCAGTCTTCCACACTATAGCTACAAACATGGAAATTTCACACTGTCAATCGACTGACCTTTCTTCCATTGTGACTGTGAGAAGTGAGACGAGAATATAAGTAAAATCTCAATAATATGTGGGAGGGAATGATAAAAAAAAAAGAAAACAGCTGCTTCCCCTCCACCTGAACGAATAAATGAGCTACAGAAAACTCAGTAGCCTGCACTTTCAGTGAGGACTGCAGCCATTAGTCCACCAGGGAGTGAATGTCAGCCACCTAGGACAGCAGTGTGTAGCTGAAGTTGAAAGATGCCGTATGAAAATGCTACCACACATTAAAATGCGTTGCTGTTCTGGCAGCACTGTGCGCTTGATTAGGGAAATCTGATGTGAAGTTTGGAGCATTTTCACACCTTCTTTTGTTTTCTTGTTTTTCTTCACCTTTGCTGGCTTTGCTGCTCAGTTTAGCTGAGCTCAGCAGAGAGAAGAGAAGAGAGGAGAAGAGAGTGAATATTGCGTTGCTGAAAAGAAACCATCCACCCCCTCTTTCTTCTCTCCGTGTCTCCCCTCTGCCCATCCTGCCCGTCTATCCGTCTGTCTGTCTGCCATGCACACAGGGTCTATTTATGGAAAGCAATGTCACTCACGCAACACCATCAGATAGCTTTCCCCCTGCCCTGCACATTGCTCATACATCATTAACATTCTCCACGACCCCAGCATGCACACGCACGCACACACACACACACACACACACACACACACACACACACACAAGCTGCACCGCACATGACATGCTGCCAATCAACCAGTACAAGACAATGCAGGCAAATGGCTGTACAGCTGCACACTTTATGTACTTAGACATCAAGCAAACTAAACACCCAGTAAGAGCAAACATGTACAACATAAATGTTCAGTCTTTTGTTATTCAGACTGTTGATTATTTTTATAGTGAAAAACACAATTTCTCAGAGCCTGAGGTGACATCTTCAATCTTAAATCAATCAAGTTTTGTCTTACCAGTGGCCAAAAGCCCCATGATATTCACTTAACAGAGAAAAATGGGAAATCCTCAAATTTGAGAAGGTGAAACTGACAAATATTTGGTACTTTTGCTTGATAAATGAAGTGAAGTATTTACTAATTATTCAAATTTCTGGCAATTCATTTTCTGTTGATACATTAATTAAGTGATTTATCATTTCAGCACAATTACATTTTTAATTCAAGAGTCAGGACAACAATATTTGCCATCACACTTAAAGGAATAGTTCTCGACATTTGGGGAAATAAAATTCGCTTTCTTTCATTTCGTATGTTGAAAGAGAAAATTGATATCACTCTCCTGTCGTACAGTAAATATAAAGCTGCAACCAGCACCTGGTTAGCTTAGCCACATGTTAATACTGTTTTTCACAGATTAAACAAATGAGGTAGGTTAGCCATTGAGTGTTAGAGATGCTAATAGGGACAGAGCCGGGCTAGCTGTTTCCCCCAGTCTTTGTGCTGAGCTAAGCTAACTTGCTGATGGCGTTAGCTTCATATTAACCATACAGATGCGAGAATGATGTTGATCTTCTCATCTAAAAGGAGGGTCTCTACAATCAAAAGGCTTTTGCCTGTTCTGTCCTATAAAATAGACCTAGCCATCTATCGAAGCTAGGACCAGCAATGGTATGTGTCAAAATGTAATATTTGCAAGTGACTTCCGAGTGCAGCTATTCTTTCACTTAAACAATTGTCTCGGTAGTTTAATTACAACTTCTGTGTAGGTATACGGCAGGTTTTAAGTGAATATAATTCTTCAGTTCTCTTCTCACCTTCAGCAATTTTGTGAATATCTTTGGAGATGCAGATATTTTCAAACCTCAATTTTGAAAGTTCTACTAGTTTAATGTGTGTCGAGGTGTCAAACAAGGCTTGTGTGTGTTTGCATACGAGGGAGAAAGGAGAGAGTGATGAAAACATAGAGAGAGAGAGAGAGAGAGAGAGAGAGGAGAGAGTGTGTGTGTGTGACCTCGTCAGCCTCCGAGACAGCCTTCAGAGAACAGTGATGACAGGAGGAATTAGTGAAGCAACACAAACCAGAAAAAAATAGCCTCCTCTCCTCTCCTCTCCCCTCCTCTCCTCTTCTCTCTACTAACACAACATTTGACATCTGCGCAAGTACATTGTGTCAGAAAAACTCTGTGAGTGCGTCCACAGCATCAGGCAGAGCACGAGGAGTTAACAACCCGAGCATGGACATATGGGACGGAGGCAGAGAGACAGAGAAGGGAACACATCTGGACAGGGATTAGGACAGCTAAAGAGGCTAAAAAAGGAGGAGGAGACAGAAGGATAGGCTTAGCGATGGATATGGGAGGGGTGAAGGGGCTTGTCAGGGTTGTGTGATGGGTGAAGGTGGGGGTGGGTGAAGGATGAAGTCAGCGAGAAAGTTATTTTTCTTACTTGAAAGAAACCTGGGGGCATGGGTCCTCCTGGCATGCCATCATTGGGTGGCATGTTTCCCATCACTGGACTGGGGGCAGCGGCCGCACTCTGAAAAAAGAGCAAAGAAAAACAGTATATTTTCAGTAACTGGTGGAGCAGAGAACAGTTGTGGAACAAAACAGCAATCAGCAAGGTGTTAAAATAATTCTGTGTTTGCTGAAAATAATGGAAAAAGTGTTTAGAAATTACTTCCCAGAAAAACCTCCAAGTCTGATTACACTCCCTGAATTTCTGGACACAAATGGAGCAATTACCGATAACTGATGAAGATATGATTATGTGGTCAGAGAGATAAATTATCTGATGAAGGACACAAGACTATCTTGTGAAGATGCAGATTTAGGGGCGACATAAAGCCTTCTGCTCCCACAACTCATTTGTGCGATGCAACAGACAGCCAAATCGATCGTACCTTCTCAGGACTGTAGCTGAACTTGAAAATGAGGCGAGAAGCTGTCAGTTGCAGACGGTTATGAACAGGAAGAGTCATACAAATGAACAACTCATGTTTCTTTCTCAAACACGTAGCAGACAAACTGTTTTCAGACTCGTTCTCATTTGCTCTACTTTACTCCATTCCTCTCTATATGCTTCAAACTGGTGTGTTGACCAAAAAACTGTGTGACAATGTGCAAACTGTACATTTGCACAACTCTAATTGAGCAGTGTCAGTCCCTAATATCAACACTTTTTCAGTGCTGATATCAAAACAACAAATACATCAATAGCCTTACAGTACTTTATTTTGAAGAATATAGATGTTTTTCTACAACACATGTTTATATTAATTTTATATAAAATGTCAAACATCTGATTTCCTTTCAACATCATCTTTGAACCGGACCATTCTGGTCAGTGTTCAATGTCAACTTTCAGCACATTTTTTATACCACCTCATGCCCACCTCCATAATTTATAGGAATTTCTGAAATTCCAAGCACTGATTTAGTCCCACTTCTCACTGATGCAAAATTTTGATTTATACAACAGCCTTCATTCCTGCATGCAACCCCTGTTTGAATATGGCCTCTAAACATATTTCTGGCAGTATTTCCGTCATCTTTGCTCTCAGTTATGATGATTTTCAACCTCAGGGGAAAAGACAGATGTGACAATTGCTGCTCTGCTTTTCTTCTCGGGCGGTGAGGCTGACAGTCGGTGTTTGGTCATGACTGCTTTGTCAGAGCTCGATATTCACACATGGCCAGAGCGGTGAGAGAAGGAAACGAGAAAGTACCAATGAGGACACATTTTGACTGTGGAGCAAAACTACATGCTACGGGATGTTCCCAACATTGGAGAAGAGGGATTATAAAGCTACAAACCCCCTTCTGTGCTGATGCAATGTCCTCAGAGGAAAGACAACTGTACTGGTTGTATGTTCAGACACTTAAAGCAACCTGTCTTCATGTTTTCAAGTGACTTCTTATGGTTGTGTGAATAATGACTGTCCAAGATAATTCAAATAGCAAAGGTAGAATGAGCTTAATGTTGTTCCACTCCTCCAAGGGTCTGGGTGGGCATAAAAAACAGCACCACGCACTGAGGTTTGGTTTCTTCTTTTCTGTGACCACAGTCTTTCCCTCACGTTAGCCAAGTAGTTTTAGTTGCCGGAACATAACCATAACTTCACCATAGAGGCGGAAGATCAGACAATGCTCATATGAATGATTATGTTGATTACTTTAGAGGACTTGTTGCACAATCACAGAGGGACCAAGGAAGCATTAATAGTTGTAATATCCTGGTTTCACCTTCATAAAATCTGTTCTCTGCTGAACAATCATAGACACACACACACACACACACACACACACACACACACACACACACAGTGCTCTCCTCCTGCCCCTCCCCCACTGTAACTAGAGCTTCACTCACTTCCAGAGCAAACAATCCCTCCATCCCTCGGCTGACCGGCATGGCCCAGACACCAACTAACAGACCCCGGGGCCAGGAGGCAGGACACACAAGCATACATGCACACACACACACACACACACACACACACACACACACACACACACACACTGCACTGGTAAGAGGGTGTGAATCTGTGGACTCTCTGAACAAAACATAAGAGACTCAGAGTGTGGACATGGACATCCACTGGAGTCAGACACAAGCATGAGGAGACAGAGAGACGAACAGACAGAGAGAGAGAGACATTTAAACAGATGGAGCTGGCAAACAGGAGAGAGAGAGATGGAGAGAGAGAGAGAGAGAGAGATGGAGAGAGAGAGAGACAGAGATCTTTTAAAGGGTGATGCAGTCGGACAGTGAAGAACAGTCTGCTGAAGTGTGTGTGTGTGTGTGTGTGTGTGTGTGTGTGTGTGTGTGTGTGTGTGTGTGTGTGTGTGTGTGTGTGTGTGTGCGTGCGTGTGTGTGTGTGTACTATGTCAGTTACTCCCAGCCTCGACAGTTGACAAGCATAGAGAGGAAGAAGACAGGGGGATCTAGAGACAGCTAACTTGCTGGCAATGCCCCCAGCACCACAAAGTTATGAATGAGTTTTATTCATCACACACAGTCTACTGACAACAGATGCAGCCTCATATATAAGTCAACATTTCACATATGAAGGCAGGTCATCAAAATAAACATTGGGTTTGGATTAACCCGAATAAACGGACATTAACACAGCTGATACGAGCTGATATTTAGGGTCCTTGAGGCCTGGTGGTCTGGGATGTGTGCAAAGTGGTGGCAATGACCACCAGTTTGATTCTGGCTGGGGTCCTTTGTTACATCATCCGTTATCAAATTCAGGCTCAAATGCCAATAAATTCAGACAGACCCTGTCCAAATCATATTCATTCTGATGGAGCTGGTTCCCACTGTATCGTTGCTCTCAGGTGTGTGTGTGTGTGTGTGTGTTTGTGTGTGAATATGTGTAATACCTCAGTGGATCTGGGCAGGCCCGTTATCAGGTATGGTTATGATCATAATCACTGTGAGATATAAAATGTGTTTTTGGAGTGAAGATGGCCCGTGTGAACCGTGAAGTGCAGGGAAAAAGTGAAATGTGTCGCTTTTCAACGACAGCTGTAGTTACTCTTCTCTCTCTGTTTGGTCTACTGGGGTCTACTGGGATGCGTCTGTCTGACTGGATCCTTTTTTTAAAACATTTATTTAGGCTTGTCTGGGTTTGTTTTCCACAGGTGTGTCCTGAGTCGTCAAGCATCTGTATAGTAGACGTACTAGAATGAGAGTGAAATTGGTTTGATGGATGGAGCAACTTTGCGCATTCTCCAACAAACACAGTGCAATTTAAGACACGTCTGACCCCAACCGGACCCTAGAATTATGAGCTTGTCAGACAAAGGGGAAGCGCAAACAATAGGCTAAACGCTTTATATTTGCACACACGCACAAATGCAAACATATACACACAGTTAACCAGAGAGAGAGAGAGGGAGAGAGGTGGAGAGAAAGAGAAAAGGAGGATAGAAATGAAAATGAGAAAGGAAGAGAGAAGGCCAGAGATGGCAGGATGAACGGTAGGGCATCTCAGGGAGAGGAGGAAGAGTGAATGGAAGTGGTGCTGGCATGTAAGTATGTGTGGCGAGTGTGCGGTGTGTGTGTGTGTGTGTGTGTGTGTGTGTGTGTGTGTGTGTGTGTGTGTGGCTGCCTGCCTCAGCCAGCCAACGAGGCTCCACAGTACTCAGGTGAAGCAGCAGCAAAAGGCCCCTTTTCCTAGTTGCCATGACAACCCCGACCTCAGCGCCTGCTCTCCAGTGCCCATTAAAACCCTCAGGCCGTCAATCATCAGCATGGCCAGGGAGCAGAGAGAGAGGGAAAGAGAGAGGGAGAGAGAGGGAAGGAGAGCGAGAGAGAGAGCAGTAGAGAGAGAAAAAAAAATGAAAAAAGAAAGAGAGAGAAGACGAAGGAAAAAGAAACAGAGATGGAGTTTAAAGCAGCCTGTGGCTTTTGATAGCTGCCCTGTTTGCCACTGCTATCTCCCTCTTTTTCTCTCCCTCCGCACAAACAAACCTGATACACAATACCTGCACAGTGTTAACTCCTCACACACTCCTCCATCACACTCCTCCGCCTCCATGAAAGCATCCACTAAAAATCAGGCTTACATTCCATGGCATTATCTTTGTTCATTTCAAACGAATCTTTACATGAGCTATCTTCATTCTAGCTCATGTTTAACTAATGATCCTGCTTGTTCCAGATGTAACATCTTCAGTCTTAATTCTGCATCCGTTCCAGAGGGTTTTCGCCGTATAGCTCGGCTCTGATCTGTACGTATTTAGTTAATGTTTAAAGGGTTAGTTTGGGTTTTTGAGAGAATTACATTTTTCCTACTTGCCCAAGGAGGGGCAAACTCATTGAAGCCTTTTTTATGTCTCCGTGAGCAATTTGAAGACAAGTTGAAAGGTGTGATCTCAGCTTCATGAATGTCTATTAAATCAAAGAGCAATCGTTTTAAAGGAATAGTTAGATATTTTGGGAAATACGCTTTCCTGCTGAGATTTAGATGAGAAGAATGAAGCCATTGATGCGGGAATACTTCTTGGTTGGGAGCTTGTCGTTTTTACACTACAGATTAAAAAAAAAAAAAAAACCCATTTACAGTTTTTATGCTAAGGTAAGCTAACCAGCTGCCAACACGGGTCTTCTCATCCAACTCGGCAAAAAAGCATTTCTCAAATTGCCAAACCATTCCTTTAAAGAATGAGCAGTTATCGTCTCTCAAATCGTCTTTCTTGTTTTCAGAGCTGTCGTATATATATATTATATATATATATATATATATATATAATATAGAACAAAGCACATGTATGGTTGGGAAAAGACTAATTAATAAAGTGACACACCTGAATTTTGATAACAAATCAGTTTATGCTCAAAATATTGTGAGCTAAGGTATCTTACTCTCATAAGCTCTCAACAGTCTGCATATTCAAACTGTATGCAGAGCCATTAACAATGCATCTACTGTACAGTAAAATCCCTCTGTAGTAAGGCATTTTTATTTGTGATAATTTCCTCTAACAGAAGGGGTCTGCTCTCCTTTGGCCCCCGGTTGTGATCCT